TAAATAAAATATAAAATGGTACCGTTAAGAGGACTTAGTTATATTCAAACTGTCTTATACAGAACTAATGCATCATACTAGTTGCATATAATAGTAGATACATACGCAAATGCACATATCTCTAGACTCGGGACCTAATTGCGGTGATATCGGAGGAAGGTAACGACGTCCTGCTCTAAATCTTTACAATACTATCTGCCACAATAGCAAGATTGTGTATCCAGAGTGTGTGAAACGTCCATATGTGTATTTTAATTTAAAGACATGACGTGTTCTTGTCACTCGGTCAACAATGTCTTTCATACGTATTAGCATGAAGGCCATTGTACTTTTCTTAAAATATTTTTTTATTGAATATCTTGAATGTTAAAGATCGGCACACATGTACTGGCATTACCGTGAAAGATCATTCTTTAAAGTGGAATAGGAAGAATGTATAATATAACAAGCCGTACGTACAAGATAACGAGCTAAACGTACAAGAAAACAATTCGTACAAACAAGATATCAAGCCGTTCGTACAAGATAACACATTGTACCAACAAGATAACAATTTGTATGTACAAAAAACCACACTGTACATGTACGTACAAGATAACAAGTTATACGCACAGGATAGCAAGATGTACGTACACGATAACAAATGGTACGTACAACATAGCAAACTGTACTTACAAGATAACAAGCTGTACGCACAAGATAGCAAGATGTACGTACAAGATAACAAATGGTACGTTCAATATAACAAATGATACGCACAAGATAACACGCTGTACGTACAAGATAACAAGTTGTTCGTACAATATATCAAGTTGTACATACAAGATAACAAGTTGTACATACAAGATAACACGATCTACGTACAAATTAGCAAGTTTTACGTACAAGATAACAAATTGTACGCACAAGATAACAAGTTGTACGTACAAGATAACACGATGTACATACAAGATAATAAGTTGTACGTAAAAGATAGCAAGCTGTAAGTATAAGATAACAAGCTGGAGTGTCGAGGATATGTTGGATTCTACATATGCGTGTGTTTATAAAACATGTTTGTATACACGAGCTTGCTTCAAATATTACTACTTTCGTGACAGTTGTCGAATGCTGACAGACTTTCCTTGTGAGTTATAATACATGTATCTGATGTGTAAGATTTGTTGTGCCGTGCCGTTCGTCTCCACAGCCCCAGTGCTTACTATGAGGAGGTGACACAGTTACTCAGATTTTACTGTATAGCAGATTTGCATGGCAAATGTGTCCAATGAAAAAGAAAACGCTATCCCCTCCAAAACACATACAGTTTTTATATCCTATCTTCAAAAAGAATCCATATTTTTGTTCTTCTGTTTCTCTTTTCATCTTCTTCTTATTGTTATCATTTTTTTGGACCTAGATTTACAGATTTGGAGTTCGAAGAATATGGTTTTGATTACAATTTGGTAAGCTCTATGTCCTGTTGAATTTTAGGTACTAAAGAAATCAAATCCAGCAAACTTCTACATCGGAAAACCAGTATCATTCTCAATGAATTTGTGCATCATTTTATGAAAATTGCACATATTTCTTTGTATTTGAAATGACATTGGTTTATTTCGCCTTCTCTCGTGCAATTATATTTACATTCGAGTTGATATATCGTCTTCTGATGTTGATCGTGCTAAACGTACTTATGATTGTTGATTATAATAAATATAACTGAAGTATGTTCGCATTCTGTTGATTATCTATTTTTGTTATAAATGATTTGATTGAGGCTGAAATGTGCTTGTTTGTACATGATTAAAATTAATGCAATTTACTTCTCATAATCTGAAACCCTTGGTAGACTTATCCGCATGGAAGCTGCCCAACGCAAAATAAACATTATATATTTTATATTAAACTTTATTAATTGATATTATTATACATGCGCAAAGTGTTAAATGATAAAATGGCAAAATCTGGCCCATTCCAAACTCGATTTGCTCACATTAATACGCAATTCGATTTGGTGTTCACCGACTGCAGGATAAACAATTATCGGTCTCCTCAAAGTAGGAAATTTAGAATTAAAATCTCTCAATCGTAAACCTCATATTGGCCTTTAATTGCGTACCGTCTATGCTTGGCATGAGTCTTTATACGATCGAGGGGACATAGAGGACGACAAACTGTTTCGGATGATGGCAGCTTGGTTCTTGAGAGCTGCGTCACATAACTACCTATCGACAGACGACAGGATGTAAAACGTACATCGTGACGCGATCGCGTTCGCGATGTATCTTTAATCAAAACCGGAGACTGTGCTAAATATCTATTTTTCTCTCTTATTTATTGCATTTATTTGTATCTATTAAAAGAGGAATCAAAGAATGAATGAATGAATAGTATTTCGAGTTTCCAACAATTAGAAAGTGAATAGGTAGAGCTACCTTGGTTATCAAACATTGTCACTGTTACATTTCGGTAAAAATGAACCCAATCATGATATAAAGAGCCTGGCGGTGACTTTTTTACCGAAAGTTGAAATAAATCATTTATAGGTTCCATAAAACAGAGAACGTTCCCCTCGTTTTTATTTTCATTAGCAAATATTCCGACTTCTGGAGACGAATCACCATTCGCCATCTTGTAGTTTTTTAATAAAAGTTCCCCCCCCCCCCCTCCTATACAATTATACATGAAGATCACAGAAAGAAAAAAATCATAGTTAACTCCATCGTTTAAATATTATTCACTCAGCTGATTCTAGAGGCCATATTTAAATCTTGTTATCTAATTAGGGCGATGACATTAGTCACTTATGTGAGTACAATACATGTACCATTTAAAAACTCCTTTTTGACATTTCGTTATTAAATACTGGTGATATAATCAGTTACTTTTCATGGATTAATAAATAAAGTAGTCTTCCGGACTAACCATTTTGTATTTATATGCTTAGTGATCAGCCAATGATATAGAAAACTAGGAAGCATTAATATATTTTTAATGTGCAAAACTTATCTTAAATGACATGATACTACGAGAACAAAATGTCTTAATATGCCTATACTAAGGGAAAAACGCTTACATGTTTTCATCAAATCTTGTCATCAATTTAAGTGGCGTAACTATAACACAATAGGATCGTATTCTAACTTGTGTCACACATTTCAAACGCCGCTGATGCCGGCGGTACATTTAATTTGGTTCACTACATTACAAATTCAAGCATGTTTATGTTATGTTATGAAAGATAATGTATTACTGAATCAACCCTCGGGATGAAATTTGCTGAAGTTTAGCATCGGTTTAATCCTCAAAAATCTTACCCTCCCCTTTCATGCCATCTCTGTCTACATCAAATACGACTGAATTCCTTTATAATTCACGGCCAAGGTGGGAGAGTCTCGTCCAGGTAGGCGACATCATGACTATCATAATACATAATTATTTCTATCGTATCCTTATTAGTCTCTGAAAAATCGATGAATATTTAAAAAAAAAAAAAAAAAAAAAAAAAAAATGACTAGAAATCCTCAATATTCATATTAAGAAATAATCTGGAATAAGTTTAACTCGAAACAAAGGTATGTAACTGATTTTACAAAAAAATAAAAACTTTCAATATAGAATTCTACACAGAAACACGTATAACAACACAAAATCAGCAAGGTGACAACTAAGAGCAACTGTACATATGCAGGAAAGAGGGGCCCCTTAGTATATATTTATACATTAATAAGTAATTTTCTAGATTAATGAATGTATAGATAATATTTACATTTGTAATGTTCACATTTATACTTTATATTATGCGAGGTAAAGTTTCAGAATATAATATTATAAAAACACTTCTAAATAATGAATGAACAATGACTTGACGTCATAATGCGATGGAACTGAACAATAATCGTAAGTCATAGGAAAAGTTATATCGTTAGAGAATATTTGAAAACCTTCTGCTTGAAAAATGGCTAAGGTTAGACGATAAAAACATCACCCTTCGGGTTAGGATGTATCTGTTAAACATTCAAAGTACACAAACATACTTTTAATCTTTTCCCGTTTCTTATAGAGAATGTACATGTGTAAGCACAAACATGTCGAATGTCGAACACTCGACTAGGATAGGTTTTTTTTTATCGCTGATCATACATTGAGGGATGGGGGTATGCAGGGTTCAACACTATACAGGGGAAAGACCTATTCATCAGCATTACATAAAATTATATATAAAGTCTTAGAGCCTTGCAAGATTCCGTCCAGGTATATCAAGTTTGGTAACTTTTTTTTCCTTAATATTATCAATGATCTAACTAGTATTTTGTCGGCTCTGACATTTGACATCATCCCAATATAATTGGTTTATTTGATGGTACATTTGTAGACGGACTAAATTGCTCTATATACACGTACATATGATATTTTATAACGAAAAATTAATAAATTCGTATTATGACTTTACGATTTAAATGCGAAATTATAACATATCGGAACGTTTTGTTATTAAATTGATACACAGCATAGCGCGTTTTAAGTACAGATAACCTATCTAATATAATATGATAATAGCACATGGAATATAAGAATAGTGTTAAACATTAAATTGCATTCAGTTTTATTAATCAGATCTAGATAGCATATTGAATAAAAGTGAAATGATTATACCTGTTTATAATTATGTTTAAAATAACAGTCACTGAAGCAGGTGTTTTCTATATCAACATCATTCACAGGTTATGTATCAAAGCAAGTCTACACCATCTTTGTGCGTATTCAAAACAGTTACTATTTTCGCCCAAATCCTGCTCTGTTTTGATTTCTCCTGGGACCATTCGGTGTAGGTGACCGTGTCAAGAATAGCTCGTACGGTGGATGGTAATATGGCAGTATCTAGTTCCTCCAGTAGTATTACTGTCAACACCCCCGGTCCCTCTATTGCAGTTCTGGACTGTGTCAATGAAAGCTCAAATGTACACCATTCACTGTTGAGGATGGCCGTTGATAACACCAGAATGATGTTCTTGCTATGTTCAAAATGATTCGTGATGTTGTCCAGAATGAACCTGCCTACCTCAAAGTCTCTTTCATGTATGCATAGTCTACATCCAGCTTTGTCTTCTTATTCTGGGATCATGTGATTGAACACAAAGTCCCTGTTGACAATGGAGTAGATAACGAAAGCGTCGTAACGATAATCAGTATCACTCTCGATTCTTTTATATCCCACTCTCTTTATTCCTAGTATGTGCAGCCAGTAACTCAACCGGAACCGAAATTTATATCCCACCGATACAACGATAAGAATAATAATTGAGGGTACAAAAACGGCGATACATATGTTTCTTATTAAAGGATAATCGATATGTGAACATATTTTCGTAGTAGGGTTGTAGTTTTTCAACAACACGTTATTCATTTCTGGAGGATATCTGCACGCATATCTCCGAGGGTAGTTAACAATGATGGTATGCTTGGTAGATTTTATCCAGTCTAGGAACCATTTGAGATCACACGTGCACGTGTATGGGTTATTAGTTAGACATAATTTGTCAAGTGAGTTTAGGAAATGCTCTGGGAAAGACGTTTTATTCACAAGTTTTATGTTATTTCCGTCAAGGTACAGGCTTCGCAGTGACGTTACATTGCCAAACACTTCCGGGTCGTCGTCCCAGCCGCTTATGTAGTTCCCAATTAGTATCAAAGATTCTAAATTAGGAATATTTTGGAAGACGTTGCGTGGGAGTCCTTTTAGTGCTGTATTCTCCAAAATAAGCTTTTCTAATTTATTTAAATTCGTAAACAATTCCCCTAGAGCTTTCGACTCTGACGGAAGGAAGTTGCCGGTAAGCTCAAGCGACAGGAGGTTTGGTAGGGAAGCGAACACTGTCCTATACAACCAAGGCCGTTTATCAAATTTATATCGATTATTTCCAATGTTCAAATATTTAAGACTTGAAGAGTTGAATGCATACCCCTCAATGGTTTCTAAATGATCGCCGATAAACGTCATTGATAGTTTTTCCAGTTTTGGTAATTGTGCAAATGTGTTGCTTCGTATGAAGCTTACAGAGTTCTTATCAAGAAAAAGATTATGTAAAAACTGCAAACATTGAAAAGAAGACCCGTCAAGATCATGAATATAATTTTGCTGTAATTTTAGAGTTTTGTACTTCCCTGTCAACTGTGCAGTTGGGCCACAGAAAGATGGTACTTTAGTAAAGTGATTGTTGGCAAGGTTCATTGTGGAGATTGAAGTAGATTCGAATCCTGTAAAATTTATCTGCGAAAGAAAATTGTTAGATAAATCCAAATTTTGCAGAAAACGCAAACCAGAAAAATGTGTTCCACTTATATTCACGATCCAATTATTATTGAGAGAAATTGCGCTGATTGAAGAATTGTGTAATCCCGAAAACATGTCTTCCGGAACGGTCGTCCATTGATTTGATGTCAGTTTAACAGTTCGTATCTGAAGTGTGTATGCTAGAATGGGAGATATAAGATCTTGCGGTAATTCATAATTTCTGCTGATCTCCAAAGTAGATATTTTTGTAAGATTGACAAATGAATCCGGGTCAATGAGTTTGGTCAAAGTGTCTATGAAATGTAATCTTTCCACAGGAATCAAAGTAAGATTGGACAAAAACTTTCCCGTTATATTCGAAAAGTTTGTCTTTGTAAATAAAACAGTTTTTGCGTATGTTGGTAAAACTGGAATATACTGCATGTCACGTCCAGTGCAGTTAACTAACTTCGAGGAAGGAAAGCATCTGCATAGTTTCTGAAGACACGTGTCTGCATTTTTGAAGGTTTCACAATGTACACAACTAGTGTACAATACCAACAACAGGGATAGCATTCCAAAACGTTGAATCATGTCGTTGGACATTTGGATCTGCAACAACAAAATAATCTGAATCATAATTGATATAATATAGACAGACGAATTAGGTACACTGAGTTACGTTTTATCTTTTGACATATGCAAGCTTCTCAACTAGAGAGATATTTGGTTAACACGTATCTGTATTTCGCTCATACATAGATAATAATGATAATACCAACATAGAAACCAATAAACAAACCATAAGATTGGGGCTTTTTTTTTTTTGCGCCAAATGTCGGGCGTATTTGTGTGAATTTACAGGGTTTCTACGGAAATAAATACACAAAAACCAGATAATTGTGTCTGCTATTCAATGTGACAGACATGAACACCCTGTTACATAATTACTTTTAACCTGATAAAGAATTTGTTTTACTATTACATGTATTTATGATTGGAGTACTTACGTTTAAATTCAGTGCTCTATAACAATCATACTATTCTCTGCTGAAAGAAGCGTGCCTGTTACAGGAGACCACAGTATTCCAAGAATAAAACAACTAAGATATTAACCGCACTTACGATAGACAGGACATTAGTTCCGAGAAACAGGTTAGCAATAGTCCCGTGACTCTAACTTGAGATATGCACGCTTAAGATGAATTGCGGAAGGAAGCTAATTTCCGCTGCATACAAACTCTTTTAAATTATACTTTAATTACCCATAATAATAATAATATACTTAATATAAAAATTGACATAGTCACATGAGTGAACAACTTTTTTAAATAATTGTGGATATATTTAAATTAGATTTAAGCGCTTTATTATAGGCTTGTCAGCTTGAATGAAAATGTACAATAAAAAAAACACCTCTAAACGATGATCGATACATGTGCATACCGTACTGAGCGCTCACCGCTCGTCTGTACCGTAATTACATTGGAATGTGGTCTCGTTTTTGACATGCCTTTTGTTAGAAGCTACCGAGCAGGAATTCAGTGTAGTATTTCCACATTAGCACAGGAGTAATGTTACCCTTTTTTGATGTTTCAAGATGTCTGCCAAATATTACATGGCACGATTTATGTAATACATCTAACAGAAAAATTGATGTTAGGTATTCACATGATCTATAACACCCCAAGTTATATTATTATGAACGGTTATAACACAATCAAAAGCATTGAAGCAGGGGCATTTTACGTTGGCAAGCTAGTTAAACACCTTGCTCATATGATAGGTATTTACGAACAAGGCCTACATACGTGGTACAATGTTAAAAACAAAACATGTACTTAAACGTTTTTTGCACCGTCGATTGGAATCAATTCTAAAGTGCGTCCTGCCGAAAGTGAAATGCACATCTGCGTAGGAAAAGAACTCTACAGACGTACTCGTTATGGTTTGAAGTGTTTCTTTCCTAAAACGGGTTTAAAAATTAAAGTTATCGACGTTTTTGACGAATCAGATTTCGTAATAAAAATATCTGCGTTTTGACAATTCGGGCTTCAGAATTTGCCACATTATGATTGATTGAAAAAAACCGGAACAGAAACCTTCACCGGGAAGCCTGCAATACCGAACGCGAGAGGATATGATCAACAAGAGTTTGAAGTGAATTTTACCAGTTTTGACCTCATCACAGACAAGTTTCATGTTTGGCTCAAAGGTGTGTGCCACCCTTTCAACAGGAAACCGTCGGCTTAACGAAACCTGGGCCTGTGCATGTTATTTCAGACATTTGTAACGAATTGATCCCCTGTGGTTCAAGGCAGGAAGTCGAGGGGGATTCGAGATTCATTTATATATGATAAGGCGGCAGGCTAATTGCTGAGAGTTTGTAACGTGTTAAGGAAAATACATTGCCATGCTTTTTAAATGTACAAATTGTATTTAGACGTGTTGAAAAAAAGTTTCTTTTAACAAGTTATTTCATCAGTGTTGTCTCTTCTATTTAATTAAAAACAACGAAACTTACAAAAAATGACAAACATCAAGCATTCCATTAAGTCCCCTTTACATGCACAATGTCTTTTACCATTAACGTTATCATTTCTAATATTTGTTCTACCCTTTGATTGTATCCAAATTTAATGAAGGCGTTAATTGCACTTATTTTAAGCTCACCTGGTTCGAAGGACCATGGTGAGCTATTGCCATACCGCAGCGTCCGTCGTCCGTCCGTCAACTCTTCCTTTAAATCGCTACTATACTACTAAGTATATTTTGACCAAATTTGGTCTGGAGCATCCTTGGGTGAAGGGGAAGCAATTTTGTATAAACGGTTTGTCTGACCCCCTGGGGGCAGAGAGTCGGGGCAAAATAAGGGTAATAGAGGAATAGCTTAAATTTTCTTCTTCTCTGTTGGGATTAAGGGATTTTGACCAAAATTGATCAGTAGCATCATATTTGAAAGCGAAATCAATTTCGAACAGCGGGAATTCAAAGCCTGTCAATTTTAACCGTTACGTGACAACGATATTCTTTAGTTGTATATCGAAGGATCGAACTAGTCTTCTTGTCTCACCAACAAGGTGGCGCACACTGAGCCTTCAATTTTGCTATACAATATTCCAGGGGTGTAGAGAGCCTAACCCCTGGATATCGAGGATGTCTACCGTAGGGATTAAAGGATTTTATCCTTATTTAGTCTGGAGCATCCTTGGGCTAATGGACGCAATTTTTTATAAACGGTGACAGTGGCCCCCTTGGGGGCAGAGGAGAGGAGCCCAATAAAGGAAATAGAGGTTAAACCTTTAAAATCCTTTTTCTATCGTAGGGATTAATACATTTTATCGTTATATAGTCTGGAGCATCCGTGGGCAAAGGGAACTCAGTTTTGTATAAATGGTGGATGTGGCCCTCCTTGGGGCAGTAGGACGGAACCAAATATGGGAAATGGCGGTAAAATCTTTAAAATCCTTCTTCTACCATAGGGATTAAGCGGTTTTATCCCAATTTGTTCTAGATTATCCTTGGGCAAAAGGAACTCAATTTTGTATAAACAGTGAGTGTGGCCCCATGGGGACTGAGAAGCGGGGCCCAATAGGGGAAACATAGCAAATTCTTCAAAATCCTTCTTTTTCTGTAGGAATGACAGGATTTTTCCAAATTTGGTATGAAGCATCCTTGGGTGAAGTGGAAACATTTTTTGTATAAACGGTGTGTTTGACCCCCTGGGTTAAAGAGAAGGGGTTCAATAAGGGATATAGAGGAATAGCTTTAGTTTCCTTCTTCTTCCGTGGGGATGAACAGTAGCATCATATTTGGAAGGGAAATCAATTTTGTATAAATGGTGGGTTTGGACACCCTGGGGCTTGATGGGCGGGGCCCAATAAAGGGAAACAGCAAATTCTTCAAAATCCTTTTTCTTCTGTAAGAATGACAAAATGGTAGAAGGGGAACCATTTTTTTTTATAAACGGTGGGTCTGACCCCCGTTTTGGCAGAGAGGGAGGGCCAAAGATGAAAAATAGCCTTTGAATCAATCTTCTTCTGTAGGAATGATAGGATTTTTCCAAATTTGGTATGAAGCATCCTTGGGTGAAGCGGAAGCAATTTTGTATCAACGATGGGTCTGACCCCCCACCCCTGGGGACAGAGGGGTGGAACCCAACAGGGGAAACATAGCGAATTCTTCGAAATCTTCCTTTTGTTTTAGGAATGACAATGATTTTGTCCAATAGCATATAAATATAACCCCTGACAATCACTAATTATAATTCACTGAGTTACATGTACCTAGTCACGAACAGTAACAGACGCACGACCTATGGATAACTGAGATACCTGATCACAAAAAAATTATTGTTCACTGAGATACCTTGACACAAAAACTTACTATAGACCACTGAGATACCTGGTTACAAACTCTCACTATAGACCACTGAGATACCTGTTTACAAACACTTATCATCGACCATTGAGATACCTGATCACAAAATAATATAGTTCACTGAGATATCTTGACACCATAACTTACTATAGACCACTGAGATACCTGGTTACAAACTCTCACTATAGACCACTGAGATACCTGTTTACAAACACTTATCATCGACCATTGAGATACCTGATCACAAAATAATATAGTTCACTGAGATATCTTGACACCATAACTTACTATAGACCACTGAGATACCTGGTTACAAACTCTCACTATAGACCACTGAGATACCTGTTTACAAACACTTATCATCGACCATTGAGATACCTGATCACAAAATAATGTAGTTCACTGAGATACCTTGACACAAAAACTTACTATAGACCACTGAGATACCTGGTTATAAACTCTCACTATAGCCCACTGAGATACCTGTTTACAAACACTTATTATCGACCATTGAGATACCTGATCACAAAATAATATAGTTCACCGAGATACCTTGACACAATAACTTACTATAGACCACTGAGATACCTGGTTACAAACTCTCACTATCGACCGCTGAGATACCTGTTTACAAACACTTATCATCGACCATTGAGATACCTGATCACAAAATAATATAGTTCACTGAGATACCTTGACACAAAAACTAACTATAGACCACTGAGATACCTGATTACAAACTCTCACTATAGACCACTGAGATACCTGTTTACAAACACTTATCATCCACCATTGAGATACCTGATCACAAAAAAAGTTAGTTCACTGAGATACCTTGACACAAAAACTTACTATAGACCACTGATATACCTGGTCACAAACTCTCACTATAGACCACTGAGATACCTGGTTACAAACTCTCACTATAGACCACTGAGATACCTGGTTACACACTCTCACTATAGACCACTGAGATACCTGGTTACACACTCTCACTATAGACCACTGAGATACCTGGTTACACACTCTCACTATAGACCACTGAGATACCTGGTTACACACTCTCACTATAGACCACTGAGATACCTGGTTACACACTCTCACTATAGACCACTGAGATACCTGGTTACACACTCTCACTATCGACCACTGAGATACCAGGTTACATACTCTCACTATAGACCACTGAGATACCTGGTTACAAACTTTCACTATAGACCACTGATATACCTGTTTACAAACACTTATCATCGACCATTGAGATGTCTGGTCATAAACCATTACATTAGACTATTGAAGCAACACTTCCTCAGAGGTCAAGTCAAGACGAGATAAAAAAATAATAATGAAATATCACGTTTGTGAGTTGTTCACATTTTTGAGTTGTTGGTTTGTAAACAACTTCAAGGACGAGCACTGCTTTAATACGTTATTTGCATTTATAGCCTTACGCATCGAGATATAATTTACAAAATTATGTAAAATGTAGTATGGCAGGTTTTGTAACTGACTCACCCTTAAAAGCTTTTAACTTTTTGATGTGTTGGTTTTATGCATCCAAGTATGTTAATTTTAGAGATAAAGTTTGAAGACGCTTGACGATCATTAGATTTCTTTACACACGTGTGCCGCGCCACTGGTCGTAAGAATTCAATTAATCATAACTCGGTCAATGTTTTCAAATATCTAGCTGAAGTTTGGTACATACATAATGTAGGTGTATCATAGTCATATAAATAACACACAGGGGCTGGGTTGCGGGATATTATCGGTTAGTAATAAACCTATACACACCAGTTAATAACAGCAACACTTTTTCTCGCTGTTTATACACATTCTAAAACCTTAT